AGTGGCTTCCGTCGATTTTTTTTTCTGCTAATTTACAATGTGATGTTTAGTTTGATGAATTGTCGCGAAGCTCGGTTTAGTCTCTGTGTTATCCTCGAGTCTCATTGATTGTCTGAAAATATTTTTTCACTCATTTGAATACAAAACACACCGTGTTAAAAACCTCTAATTTGAACGCAATATTTTTTGACCAATTAACTCAAGGTCGCTGTAATTGCCTACAAATAGTTTCAAGTCACTAACTAAAAGGTTTCCTGGCTCGTCTTTCGAGAATTTTAGTGCAGTGCAGCGAAATTTAAAACTTCAATTGGAGTCAAATTGATGCTTCTTGTAAGGCTAATTGCACTTGCGAAGCGTAGGGTTTTAATACGAAGAATTTTTGTTTCTAAACTAAGTCGCCAATAAAACTGCTAATTTAGTGGCACTTTTTTGGTATATCTATTATCTATCTATACTATCTATATCTATCTATACTATATTTAAATGCTAGTGACAGCTATCTCCCATATTTAAGCATAATAATTTTGCACGTTTAACGAAAGAATTTTTTTTCATGTTTAAGCTATATCATGTATTGCAATGCTTAAGAAAATTTTTCAGTTAGTTTTCAGCAAGGTCATTAATTTTTCAGTAATTTTTTTCGAGGCCAAATTAAGTCTGTCTGTCTGTATACCTGATTTTTTATTTAATTTGATTATGTCTCCTAATTTTTTAATTTTCATGTATTATCTATCTATCTATCTATCAAAAAAACTTAGATGTTAAAAAATTCCGAAACTTTGAAGCTCTCAATCCTGTTATTGGAATCTGTGAGGGTACTTTCAGGGGGTTGCAAATCTAGCCTCTGAATATGGCTGCTCAAATTCTTGTAGTTTCCGAGATATGACGTTCTTTAGGATTTTCTCAAATTTTTTTAGAGAACTGAGATATAAAAAATTTCACAAAACTTGAAAATACCATCTCTGAAGTGAGGCTATGTCAGGGTACTCACAGGAGGTGCAAAATTTGCCTCCAAATATGAAGTTTTTTTAAAATCATTCTTCAAAAATTTTCAAAAAACTTAGATTTAAAAAATAACAAATCTTTGAAAATCTCAACCCTGTTGTTGGAAATTGTGAGGGAACTCTTAGGGGTAGCGAATCTTGCCTGTGAATATGTCTGCTCAAATCCTTGTAGTTTTCGAGATGTGACGTTTTTTTGGATATTTTCGAGAATTTTCAAAAAAATTTAGATGTCTCCAATCTTTTTTTCTCTTTATCGTTGTCTGGCTCCAATCTTGCCTCCAATTATGACTGCTCAATTTTTTGTAGTTTTCTACATATGACATTTTGTAATTTTTTCAAAAAAAAATTAAATTAATTTTTTTTCAGAATTTGAAATTTTTTCCCCTGTAGTGTGGTGTTTTCAGGGTACTCTCAGGAGTTGCGAATCTTGCCTCCAAATATGATTTCTCAAATCCTTTTAGTTTTCGAGATATGACGTTTTTTGTAATTTTTCAAAAAAATTAAATTAATTTTTTTCTTCAATTTGAAATTCGCAACTCTGTGCTTGGGGGCTATCACAGTACTCTCTGGGGGTTGCGAGTCTTGCCTCTAAATATGACTGCTCAAATTGTTCAGTTTTCGAGATATGATGTTTCTTGTGTTTTTCAAAAAAATTAATTTAATTTTTTTCTTCAAAGTTTGAAATTCGCAACCCTGTAGTTGGGGGCAATCGGAGTACTCTCAGGGGCTTGTAAACCTTGCCTCCAATTAGGACTGTTCAAGTTGCTGTAGTTTTCGAGATATGACGTTTTTTGTGATTTTCTCAGAAAACCCAAACAAACTTTCTTTCAAAATTTGAAATTCCCAACTCTGTATTTGGGGACTATCAGAGTACTCTCGCGGGTTGCGAGCATTGCATCCAATTATGACTCTGAGTGTTTTTAATTTGAAATTCCTAACTGTGTAGTTTGGTGCTGCCAGGGTACTCCCAGGAGTTATAAATCTTGCCTCCAAATATGACTACTCAAATACTTGTACTTGTACTCGAGATTTGATGTTTTCGTGATGACGGAAAAAGGATTGAAAAAATTATCAAATTTGAATTTACCAGCCATGTAATTGGGTGCTGTCAGAGTACGCTAAAAGCCTGCAGATCTGGTTTCCAATATATGCAGTTTTTCATGTTCTCAAAAATTCGAAGCACCGAAGGTGCGTTACACGCTAGCTATATATTTAAATGCGGGCTTCACTATTTCGCCATGTTTCAAATTTTTCAACGTATATTTTTTTGCATGTTTAACAAAATATTTTTTGCACGTCTAAGCTGTATCGTATATTACAATGGTTAAGATTTTTTTTCGATTTTTCAGTTTCAATTCAGTTTTTTTTTCATCAAGTTTGAAATTAGCAACCCAATAGTGGGATTCTGTCAGAGTTTTCCCAAAGTTTGTTATTCTGGCCTCGATATTTGAATAATCAAATCTTTTTAGTTTTCGAGGTACGGTAGTTTTCGAGATTTTTCAAAAACTTATAGAAAATTTAATTTAAATCAATTTCTCAGTTTTTGAATTCTCACCCTTTAGTTGGGTGCTGTCATGTTACTCTCAGGGTTTGCGAGTCTTGTCTCCAAATCTCATTTCTCTAATCCGTGTAGTATTCGAGATGACGTTTTTATGACTTTCAAAAATTAAAAAAAAAACTTGGTTGTTGGATACTGTGAGGGTACTCTCAGGGGTTGCGAATCTTGCCTCTGAATATGGCTGCTCAAATACTTGCAGACGTTCTTAAAAAAGTCAGAAGAATTCATATTCTCAACCTTGTAGTTGGGTACTCTCAGGAGTTCCAAATTGCAAATATTGCGTCCAAATACGACTGATCAAATGCTCTTAGTTTCCGAGATCTGACTTTTGTTATGTCTTTTTTCAAACTGTTCAAATAACTTACATATAAAAAGTTCACTTAGAAAAGTTTCCATCTCTAAAGTGAGGCTCTGTCCGGTTACTCTCAGGGGTTGCTAGTTTTGCCTCTGAAAATGGTTGCTCAAATCCTTGTAGTTTTTGAGATATGACGTTTTTTGTGATTTTTTCAAAAAAATTTCATGAAAATTAAATTAAATTTTTTTCTTCAAAATTTTAAATTCCTATCTCTGTAGCGAGGCTCTGTCAGGGTACTCTCAAGAGTTGCGAATTTTGACTCCAAATATGACTGCTCCAAAACCATGTAGTTTTCCAGATATGACGTTTTTTTGTGATTGTTTCAAAAAAATTTCATAAAAATTAAATTAAATTTTTTCTTCAAAATTTGAAATTCCTAACTTTTATTTAGGGGCCCCCAAATAAAAAGGCCTAATTTTTTTTAACCTAAACTGATACGACGATTTTTGGATTTTTTGGAAAATAATTCACAAAAGTGAAGATCGCAATCCTGTAGTTGTGTGCTGTCAAAGTACTGTCAAAGATTGCAAATTTTATCTTAAAATAAGACTGCTCACATCCTGGTAGTTTTCGATATGTGACACATTTTTTCTGGTTTTCAAAATAGTACTTTTTTCAAAACATTTAAGGTTCAAGTTTCAAAATTTGATTTTCCCAATGTTGTAGCTGGGTACTGTAAGAGTACTCTCAAGAGTTGCAAATCTCGCGTCCCAATGCGACTGCTCAATTGCTTTCAGTTTCCCGGATGTGATGTTTCTTAGTTCATTCTAATTTTTTTCGAAGAACTTATATAATACTTTGCAAAATTTGTAGTAACGAACCCTGTAATTGGGCGCTGTCAGAGTACACTCAAAGAATGCATATCTTGTTTCCAACATAATCACGCTAGTTTCAATATAATCATGGTTAATTAAATCATTAGTTAAAATCATTTACGAAAATGCATGGGATTTGTTTTTTTTCGTGATTTTTCGGAAAATTTTGCTGTTTTTGCTGAATTTTCATTTTTCTCAAAAGCTACTTACATTTTTCAGAAAATGGTACCAATAGACAAATGGACTGCTTTTCCATGTCCATGCTTGTTTCGCTAGTCTCTTATCATTTTACTCGATAAAAGTTTATCTGAGATAAACAATTCATTTGAAAGAGTCAGTTCTAGTTTTCTCCTCTAAATAGCTAATCTCCTGCTTAAGCATAGAAACTTCTAGGGTTTTGTGTAAAGTTTATTTTTTTCGAAGTTTTGAAAGTCACGCCTTAAACTGAAATGTTTTTTTTTTTGCTTAAATTTTGACTGCGTAGCATTGGCAATTTGTTAGAAACTGTAGCTGCTTTATTGGTGGCTAGTGTTAGTGAAGTTACAAGCGGTCGTGGAGCAGATCTGATGTGATACGCCTTGTCTCAATTTCTTTAGGTGTATTTTTAATATTTTCATTTTTCTCATTCTTTTTGTTTTGCCTGCTTAGAGCTCTTTTTTGCATTTTCCTCGCTTGTGCTTGCAAAGCGCAACTTCGCCTGTGTTTAAAAGAAATTAGCGATTTTCAACAATTATTTAATTTTTTTCTTTGGCTGATAATTTTGAGCAGCGCAATTGCTTTGAAGCTCTGCTTCCCCTCTGCGTGAAAGAACTATCATTCATAAAATTATCGTGAAGTTCTGAGCGAAAAATTTATCAGTCAAAAAATTATCATGAAAATCGATCGTGATTTTGAAAAAAGCAAGTGAATGTTGTTTTGGTTTCCTTGAGTTCACGACTATGTGACTATGATACCCTCCGCTTCTGTTTTCTGAGATTGCAACACTCGATTTTTTTTAAAGAAATTCATGTGTTGAAGATCACGCTACGTAATGACTGCTTTGAATTAGTTGTTCTTTCAATTCACTTTACACATCTGTCATCTATTGTCAAGTGAGCCGTGTGATTTATTCGTAGAGCAAATGGCTGGTCTTTTTCTCTTGGAATTTAAGATATACAACAGAACACGAAGTGTCAGTTCTACGTTAAGTTTTTTAAAATGATTTTACACGACAAAAATTTGAAGCAGTGTGCAAATTGTTCTTCATTTCTCGTTTGACGCAAAATTGGTTCTCACATGCTTAATTTTGAGCGTCAATGTGAGAAAATTTTTTGTTCACTGCAGTGTGATTGGATTTGAAGTTTTGTTTATCGAAGAAAAAGTGGCTGGTGATCAAAGAAGATTGACTTCCAACTGCAGCGAGCTACTGGTCAACCCAATGTGTCAATTTTGTTGTATTGACTGTCGACAGAAATCACAACTTAGTGTTTGACTTCTCACTTTTAGGAAACTTTTCATTTGGAGTTTCGTATTATTTTTTGATACAGCAATCAGTACTATTTTTTTTTACAGACTAGAAATATGAATTCTAAGGTAAGATATGCTAATATAGTTTTCAGTGTTATTACTTGCTTCATATTTTAACCTTAATAATCATGCACGGAATGCTAACCAGAAATTCCATCACCGATTACTTCTTCAATAAAACGGTAGAAGTTCTTAACTGGCTCGATACGACGCTATAATGTAAAACAAAAAATAAAATAAGATGAATCAAGCTGAGAATTTGAGGCTTTGAAAGGACGTTTAAAGTTCTTTCTTGTTTAGTTGTTCATTTGTGTCTGCTAAAAGATTAAACTGACCGCATCTATTTTTGACAAGCTCAAGCTATGGATTAAAATATTAACAAGGTTAAGTTAGTGAAAGCTTGAGTTTCTTCTTAAATCACTACTAACTCGATTTGTTCGCAACGTCTGGTGTTTTTCAGTTAATATTTGATTGAAGTTACTTTGAAAATGTCGGAGTATCTTGATTATTCTGTGCAGAAACAAGGGCCTAAATCGAGAGTGGCTCGAAACCAACTGGAACACATTTGCCAACTTGACATCGAACAGGATCCTCAGTTTGTACGTGCAACTGGTATCATCTGCACTTTGGGACCCGCATCCAGAGATGTTGCGAAGGTGAAGCAGATGATACAATGTGGCATGAACATTGCGAGGATGAACTTCTCCCATGGTACTCACGAGTACCACGCAGAGACCATCAAGAATGTGCGTCAGGCAGTGGAAGAGTTGAACAAGGAGTCTGAGTGGAAATACAACGTGGCAATTGCCCTGGACACCAAGGGACCAGAGATCAGAACTGGCCTGATCAAAGGCAGTGCAACTGGAGAGGTCAACTTGGTGACCGGAAAAAAGGTAATGTTTTATGTTTTTAGTTGAGAAGTTCTTGAACTGACCTTGAAAATTGCGATCGAAAAGGGCTTTAATATGATACCGCACTTAATCTCAAACAAGCTTCGTTTGGGGTACCTAAAATAATTTAAAAAATGAGGCTACTTCTCGACAGGTCGCTAAAAAGTCGCTACTTCTGTGGAAGTCGCTATTTTTGGTGTGTTCTATTGTTTGCTTAATTACTAGTTTATACATTACCAAATTGTTCCAGATGCCATGGGCAAAACTAAACTGACCCAACAAGCTTTGAGCGAATTTCCATTTATGAGGCGCTAAATTGAGCTTACGTAAGGTCGCTAAAACGTCGCTATTAGTACTTATGAGGTCGCTACTTTTTTTCATAAGGGTGGTCACCCTGATCAACACCCACAATAAAGTTCAAACTTCGCCTCTGTGTTTAAAACGTGTAAAACGTTTTTTTTATCAATAAAAACAGAATTTTAACAGCCCTGAACGTGGTATTTTTAGTGTGTATTATACCAGTTTTGCCTTTACAAACTGTTTTTTTTTATCGATTAGTCTTTTGCTTTCTGTCTTATTGGTAATTCCAGCTAATATAGGTTTCTATTGTGAGATGGGAACACTTGAAAAGCTGTGTGAATTGCCTAAATAAGCGTTTGAAAATAAATTTTAATGGTTTTCTGTAAATTGTATTCATTTCCCTCTTTCATGTATTCTTTTCAGGATTCATCCCATTAGGTTGGTTTTGTGCCGCTTGAGCATGGTTGCTGCGAGTTGTTTGACAGGAAATGTTGTGAAAGCAGACTTGTTAATTTTCCTGCGCAATGGAATCATCTCAGTTTTGCCTATTTGTTGAAGTCGGCGAATTCATATTGTATCCCACCTTTTAATGCATGCGGATAGATGAACACTAAATTCACCTAGGTTTCTGTTTAGATCAAACTGACTATGGATCCCGCTAATCGAGAAAAGTGTGACGAGACTCTGCTCTATGCTGATTACAAAAACCTTCCCAAGGTTGTTTTCAAGGGAGGTCTAGTGTACATTGACGATGGACTGATCTCCCTTCAAGTCGACGAAACTGGAGCTGATTTTGTGAATTGTACCATTTTGAATGGAGGCGCTTTGGGGTCATCGAAAGGTGTCAATCTCCCGAAAGCTGAAGTAGATTTGCCTGCAGTCTCCGAGAAGGACAAGAGTGACTTCGTGTTTGGCATGGAACAAGATGTAGACATGATTTTTGCTTCTTTCATTCGAAAGAAGCAGGACTTGGTTGACATCAGAAACATTTTGGGCGAAAAGGGAGCGCACATTAAGATCATCAGCAAATTGGAAAACGAGGAAGGAGTTGCGAAGTTTGACGAAATCTTGGAAGCGAGCGATGGAATCATGGTTGCTCGAGGAGACTTGGGAATTGAGATTCCCACAGAAAAAGTGTTCATTGCACAGAAAATGATGATCGGACGATGCAGCAAGGCCAAGAAGCCTGTCATCTGTGCGACTCAGATGTTGGAATCTATGATCAAGAATCCTAGACCGACTAGAGCTGAAGCTAGCGATGTTGCAAATGCGGTTTTGGATGGAGCCGATTGCGTCATGTTGTCAGGAGAGACGGCTAAAGGCAAATATCCTCTAGAAGCTGTTCAAGTCATGCATAAAGTGGCCCGGGAGGCGGAGTCGGCTTTCTACCATGACGTTCTTTTCGACAGCCTTCGAAAAGCATTCGTGTACCCAATTGACCGAGATGTCTCAGTAGCAATATCGACAGTCGAGGCGTCAATCAACTGCGGAGCTAGTGCCATAATTGTTTTGACAACTACAGGAAAATCAGCGCACCTGATTTCGGCGTTCAGACCGCATTGTCCGATCTTGGCTGTGACTCGAGATGCGAGAGTGGCCCGTCAGGCACATCTGCACCGAGGTATCTTTCCGATCTATTACCCGAGTTCGAGGGCTGCTGACTGGTCGGAAGACATGGACCAAAGGATTCAGGATGCTATCAAGTTGGCAAAGGGACGCCAGTTCATCAAGAAGGGTGACAGCATCATTTGCGTTACAGGGTGGAAAAAGGGAGCTGGCTTCACCAACACCATGCGAATAATCCCTGTTGATTAAGTCACTGTTGCTGCACTGGGCCAATTTTTGCTGGTTGGCCCACATCAAGAATATATGAATTGCAGACAAAATTGAATTGCTACTACTCACCATAGTGTTTCTGCTATTTTAATGTTCTTCCACTTGCATTAGTCAACTATTTTGAAGCGTCGCTAGAGAACCGATGCTGAACTAATATCTCACTCGCAGTATTAACATAAAGCTGATGTTTTTTGTTGTCTCAATAAAAAAATTTCAAATTGATGATTATTTTGAAAAACTGCTCACTGAAAAATAGATAACTGTTATCTTGAGAGGGACAACAATTTGTGCTTTCAAAGCTTGGCGTTTAAGCCCGAAACATTGCGACTTATATTAATGATGTATTTTGAAACCAATTCAACAATTTTATTTTTAACACTGAGGTATGTTCGCCGGAAAGAAAGTAAATTTTGAGCCTGAAATGGAGCGCGCATTCTTATGTAATTTTTTTTTCGCGTGCAATAATTTCATCCAAAGACAGGTAGAATGGGTGGTATAGGTAGAATGTGTCGTTTGGCAAAAAATCGTCAAAGACATTATAATAGGGATACAATCAATGGAACATTATCTAGATATTAAGAGAACAAAATATTTTGAGCAAGATTGTTTCAGATGTCAATTATCTAGATAATGTGGCTTTTTCTTGATCATGGTTTGGAGCATTATTAAATGTAGTGGTGTGAACCCGTGATATTTCAGTGTGAACCCTTTAGCCTCTGACGCAAGGGTGTGAACCCTTGATATTTCAGCTGGCATGAGTTCAAGTCTGGGTTGAACGATCCACAAGAGCACAGTACACGCCAGGTGCACACGTCTAGCGGGTTGTAGCTTTTTTCGAAGAATGTGAAGAAACTTTCTGCTAGTTGTTTCATGGTCGAATTGTCGCGAAACTGTTTGTTGCGAATAATGTTGTAAAGTTTCGGTGCTCTTGATCAGAGGTTTTCGACTTTTTTCCGTAGCTCGAATTCGCTGCTTTGCCTCGTAATGCTGGTTCTTAGGGTTATTGGGATTGTTTTCGTCTACTTTGTATTTTCCGTCCATCTAGGGGCGGATTTTGAGGAAGAGCAGACGCCCCCCCCCCCCCCTCAGGGATTCGACCGCATGCCGACCCAAGTCCCCCTTTGTACTAATTTGAGATATCCATTTTTGGCTGACTGACCCCAAAATTTTCAGTCAACTCAGAAAGTCATTTTGATCGACCTAAAAGAAAAGGCTGACTTGTTTTCGTCGGGTGCCGGACATCAAGCCGACGGACTTCAAGCCGAATCGTATAATAAGGGACTTCAAGCCGAACACTTTGTCAAAAGGTTATGAAATATGATTAATTTGAAAACTGTTATTGGCTTTTTTGTTGTTTTTGAGCCTCTAATTGATGTTTAGGAATATAAAAAATTAAAACATTGTTCATGGGGTTTTTCATGTTTATAATTTATGCATTTCAAAATCCGCCTGATCTAACTTTCTGATGTCACTTTTAAGTGGTGCATTGTCATGATGAACGCTTATGCTGAACTAAACTTGCCTATTTTTTTTTCGAAATAAACATTTTAATGATAAAAATTTAGCGTTTTTATGTGCTTGTAATGTTTAAATTTCGGCTTGAAGTCCCGTCGGCTTGAAGTCCCGTCGGCTTGTTGTCCTAGACCCGTTTTCGTCTTAGTTTTGGCTTTGTTTTTACCATCCAACTAAATCGCTTATTTGAATATTTTTCAGCCTTATAGTTGCCCTTAGTGTTCTGAATTACCTCAGCTATTTCTTACCCCTCAAGAAAATCCTAGATCCTCCCCGGTTTACCTTATGTCGTCTTGGTGTTCGCTTTGTTTTTACCATCCAACTAAAGCGCTTATTTGAATTTAATTATTTTTTTTCAACCTTATAGTTGTTCTTAGTGTTCTGATTACCTCAGCTATTTCTTACACCTCGAGAAAGTCCTAGATCCTCCCCTGCGTCCATCAATGGTTACAAGAAATGTACATCGTGGAGTATATATATATCGAAAATGGTGAGATAATCAATGTGTATAGTGTTTCCTTGTAGTTGATAACTTTGTTTAATATCCATGATGTTGCTTTCTGTTGGACTTTTTCTATTTCCTAATTTTGTTTTTGATGAGTACGATACCTGCGACGGATATGAGATAACATGAACTACATGAAAAACGTAGGCGTGTAATTTGGTATCGCAATTATTTCAATATGAGATGGTTCTTCAAGGTTGAAGAATGCGCCCAAGGCTTTGTATACGCTTCGTTTGATGTTTTCGGTCCATGAGAGATTTTTCGACATGAGTACATCTAGGCACTTCTGGATGTTGACGGCATCAAGTTTTGTCTTTTTTTTGTTTTGTGGTTCAGAGTCTCCTTTTATGCAATAAACTTTGCTCTTTCCACCGTTCAAGCCCATTTCAATTTGCTGACTCCATTTCGTAATACACTTTGCCAGTGCTTCAGCCTTGTTGCTGTTGCTAGCAATAACTTTGAAGTCGTCTACATATCCGAAGGACGTTGGCGGGGTCACTGAGTCGGGGAGATCGTTTACAAAATTCAGGAACAAGGAAACCAGTGGGGAAATACACCAAATTTTTGTAATGATATTTCTTTGGTATTTTTTAAAATTTTTTATCGCTTTCTGTTTACTTTTCGCGGCTTAGTTTTCGCTTTGTTTTTACCGTCTAACTAAATTGCTTATTTTAATTTTAGTTTTTTTTCAACCTTATAGTTGCCCTTAGTGTTCTGATTTACCTCTTTTCTTTGTAATTTTTTTAACCTTGACATCGTAATTATTCCTTTTTTTTCGATTTATTCTGCCTTCAAAACTTTATTCTGCCTGTTGGATTAAAAACTTTTTGATCTTATTTTGGGTCGTTTGAATGAAAGCATTTTTTTATGCTCATTTCTGGGTTGCGAAAAACTTTAAGTGTCCTAACAGAAATATAAATCAAGTTTTCCATAACAATTGTTTTATCGCCTTTTTTTCACTGTTGTTTCGGATTGATAGTTTTTGGCCAATATAATATGGGTTTATCGGCCTCATATTGCGTACTGATGAGCAAAAAAAAATGTGTGCAAGCGTGTCTCTGTTTTGAGGGCGAGGGGGCTTAATAACTTTTTTAAAAAATTTTCATCTTTTTTTTAGGCTTTAAAGTTTCGGGCTATATCATATTGGCATAGTTGTCTCATATTGTTTCATTTGACAAGCCAGTAATGTTTTTTGATTGTTTTGAGTTAGAGGGGACTTCTTACGTCTTAAATTATATTGGTCTTTTGGCCTAAAAAGTTTCTGCCAAGGCTTTGTAAATTGTCTTCCGACGCTAATTTCGTATTCTCATGTCTCGGCATGTTTTTGCTTCAAAACTAGCCGTATTCATTAAGATAGATTTAATTTTTTCGACGTTTTTTGAATTTTTTCCCGATTTTCTCGTGTTGTGTCGCAAGTGGTGCGAAGCTCAGCTTCGTCTCAGTTCATTTTAATCTTAGAATGTTTTTATGGAGATAGTGGAGAAGAGTGAAAAGGGGAGAGAATTCTGCTGCTCGTTGTGAAGAAATTACACCGTCTGTCGTCCGTAGGAGATGTCTATCTGGACAATGGCTGATTATCTGACTTGCTGTTCAAAGTATTTAGTTATTTTACGGAACTATGTTACTGAAAAATTTAAAATTTTGAGTGACTCGAAAATTTACAATTTGATAATAGAGATTTGATTTTTGAGAAAAAATAATTGAATAGAAGGGAGATATTCAACCCTCTGTTGGGCAAAAAGTTAGAGTCAACTGAAAATGCAAGCCTGCTCATCCGAAACGAAGTTAGTTTAAATTGTTCTGCATCTGCGCTTTAGACTTCAGTCCTCTGTTAATCTCTTATCCTCCAGGAGACAGACATTCGCAATGTTCTTGATTTCTTCATTTTGAAAAATCAATTTTCATTTTATTTGGGGGGAACTCATTATTTTTTCACCTGCTTTAGTTACTAAACATTCAGAGCAGAGGGGGATTCATCTGTTTTCACAGCCAAAACAATTGGCACACTCCGCATGACTGGCGTCGTGGATAAATATTAAGCTCACTTGATCATCCGTTAATTTTTACTAAAAATCGTCTCCTTTTTAGAAGGTTGATATCAAATTAAGAATAAAAAAATTTGACAATAAAAAAAAAGTTGACAAAAGTTTTAAGCTAGTCGTTGAATCGAAATCTGATTCATATACTACGTTTAAATTGCTTCTTATACCAATTTTAAATTCTTATCTTAAGGTGTGTCAACTTACCAGTTGACTCTTTTCTTTTCGTTTTTTTTTGCTGCAATTTTAAAACTCGATTTTGAATCTTCGCCGCTGTTCAGTGGCATTTTTGTTCCCCAGATATATTAATCATTCATATTTAATTTTTCATTTAAAGCAGGTAATATTTACTTTTTTAAGCCCTGAGTATTTTATGCTACTTGCTTTAAAACAAGCTAATCACTAGGTTTTGTACGAAATCTTTTTTTGTCGTTAGATTTTTTTTAGTCAAGGCCATCCTACACTGAACCAGCTCATACTACTAGATTACCTAAAAGGAAACATCCATTATTTTTGACAGTAATTATCAACGGACCATATTGGTCAATTCTTCGTAGATTTCACATTGTTATCAAAGATTGTATGCAAAAAGCGCCAAAACCTGTTTTCCTGAAAAAAATATTCAGTCTCGCCGAAAAATACTCGAACTGCTATTTTAGCAATCTTAAAAAACTGTTCCATCTGAATACAAAGAGTTAGAGAGTTTTTTTTTGGTAGGAAGGTACCTAGTTGTATTTTTTTGTAAGTGCCATAAGTAGATTTAATGGACCGAGGTTTTCTAAAACCTTTTTCGGGTTAGATGGCTGAGAATTTTTCGTGAACTGCACTGCTGTAGAGAACTTAGTTTAAATCATAAAAGTCATCTGTTAAGTTGACTTTTCTTAATTGTTTTGCCAAATTTGATCGCGTTAAATCGTGTGCAATTGCCTAATGAACACTCGAAAAATTTTTGAAACCTGTCTTTTCTGAAAATGAACTCGTGTTGCTAGTTGAACGATAGCTTGACTCTGTCATGAAAATTGTCCTTTATGGTGTTTTTGTCTTTTTGCGAAAGTATTGTTGGAAAAATCTAAGTTATTTACACCGGACAAAATGTTTGCTAGCAGTTAAGGGTCCTTTCTTTTTTCTTGCTCGGAAAGTAAGCTTTGCTGAGACATTTTTTGTTGGAAAAAAAGTTTTTAAATTTAGAAGGTCGGCTTCGGCGCTCTTGGCTTATTTTTTTTTCAAAGTAGGGGCTCAGACAACTCTCAGTTACCGCTTCTCAGAAATACAAGCGAAATAGAAAGCTATGGAAATCAAATATCAGATATGCCAGCGAAATAAGTTTTACCTATTCTCAATAAAAGTATTCCAGTTTT